GAGTACATTAAATACCTGTGTATTAACCTAAAATATTTAGAATGAGGTTGCAATGACAACCTCCTGTCAAGTCAGTTTTTGACACTAAAATTGACTTTCCTTGGTCCTCATTTGAAACTTTTATATTATATTACACAGGAATCAAAAAATTGTAATACTTATAAACTGTTTTCATTTAAAATCAAACATGACAATCTGATTGGCAAAGTAGGTGCCTCACTCCATTCAGTGAAGCACTCAGCCCATGGTGGTTTGTGATTGGTTGACACTCGCACCATAAGCTCCAGCATTAATCCAACAAGTAAATGTTCATACAATATTTAACTGTCGTTATAAATATGGCTTTGTTGATTTCAGTGTTTTCCTATAACATACCGGTACATGGCTTTCCAGCAACATAAACATACCAACTAAACTATTGCAATATCACTAATATACTAATGTTAGTAGGCATGAATTTGTCATAAACAAGCCATGCATGGCACAGTCCCTGTTAGTTATCAAATTTAAGATATATAGTTTTGTTTATATAAACATGTTAGAAGTATGGATCTAGAAACTAATGCTTAATTATGACATTAAAATGATTGACATCTTGTATCTGATCGTCAAACAAGTACTTATTGCGAAATATTGCCCTGGAACAGCATTAATTAAAACAAAATGGCCACCGGGCAGACATTTTGAATACATCTATATATCTATGACATATTGTATAACGAATATATCAAATTTGTACATAGTCAGTCAAAGAATGTCAGAGATATGGCTCTAGAAGTACATTCATCAAAACAAAATGGCCGCCAGTCAGCCATTTTGAATACGATCTGAAAAATAAAATGATGTGATCAGGAACCCATAATGTCTAAAGTATGTACCAAGTTCGAACAAAATCCATCTGTAAACGCCAAGATCTAGTTCTTTAATGCCAAAAATACTTGATTTTTGATGGCTGCCATTTGGCCATTTCGAATCAGATAGTCAAACCAGTATTTTTATATATCTATCAAACACACACGGATGCTCAAAGGTAAAAACCATAAGTCCCTGTTTTTGGACATAGTCCGACCGGGGAGTATTATACAGTGTACCTGAAAATGTAGTGTAATTTTCCATGGCAACGTTGAAGAAAAGCTGTACAAATCAAAGAGTACACCAATAGGTATATGCCTGGAAAAAAAAACAAGAGGATATTAATTAGTCTTAACTATTTGAACGCCAAATTTTTTCCTCCTCAAAACGGGATAAATATGTCCACATTCCGAGGAAAAAAACAATCTATAAATGAAACTATTTTGTTCCTGATGTCGTCTTTGACAATCAAGGAGTTTAATCTACATGTAGAAGTAACTTAATTTTTGTAAATTCTTAACAAGTTTAGGTGTTCTTTAGTCCGTGCTAACCACTGTTTTCTCCCATGCGTGAATGCAATTGGATCTATCACATACGCAAACATATGAGATTATTTTAAATCTTAGCTTGTACTTTGTGTAGTGTGAACACTACTTATAAGACTTTGACACCAAATTGTAAGATTAAAGAGGTAGAGGGCTACAGCTGTTAACCATAACAAGTTGTGAACAGCTTTGCTTACAAGTACAGACATTTAGATAAATACATGTATAAACTGGCTTAAACTAGCATAACTAACTTTCAAAACCATCACATATTTAAATTATGCACAGCATCCTTCCTAAATACCGGATTTTGCCGTAAATTCGCCCTGGGCCGTTGAACTGCAACTGGAATCATTTGCTTATGATTTAACTAAGTTGAATTTTATTTGCATTTCATAATAATTTATTTTTTGTACGTTATTATAATCACTACAGACTAATCATCAACAATTGTGAAAGACCGGATTGCGCAACCGTGATCATTTGCTGCTACGCAATGCAATTGGTTCGTTTTTATTTGAAACTTCGTTTAGAATATACTTTCGTCACTAATAAAATAAAATAAAATGTATTTGACATACCATAATTTCACTGGGTGACATTGTAATGAAATTTTGGGCGGTTGACTTTTTAATTCAGCAAGAAAAAAAATGTATCAAATTATAGATTAGCTTCTGCAATAGTTTCTTTCGTCTTGGGTGGTCCAACTGCCGACGTTGTAGTAGGCGTAGTTGAATGATTCAATGAAAATAGAAATCCCCAAAAAAATATTTGATGATCTTTTTATATTTTTAACTCCAAATA